ATATTTAATATGTGCAGCATATTTTAATTTCAGCTATTTAATTTGGGAATTTTAGGAGCTTAGTTTGATTTGTATTGTGTTTATTTAATTTGTGCAGCCTTCGTTTAAAGCTTTGGTTGCCTTTGTGATTGGATGAGGATTGATTTCGTGATTGCTGTGAAAGTAATCAAATATAGAAAAGAAAAAAAAAATATTGCTTAAAACACGTTTGGTACTTCTGCATTTTTTGTTGAGTATTCCTCTAAATGTTAAATTGTGACTTTTTTTTTGGGTTTAATATTGGAATTTTAGCAGCTTGGTTTTATTTTTATTATGTTCATTTAATTTGTGCAGGCCCTTGTTTAAAGCTTTGGTTCCCTAGACAATTCAAAAATGAAGAGTCGTTCCCAGGAACTTATAGTAATTTTACCTATATTTTTATAATAATAGAGAAATGACACAAGTCATAATTGCAATGCTACATCATTACTTGTTTGCCATCAAAATATCTTTCGTAAACGCTTCAAAAGTCTTCATTAGTACTTTTATGAATATTTTAAGATGAACTCCAAAGACGTGGAAAGTGTCACATTGAGTTTGTAGAAATTTTTGGTGTGTATTTTTATGTTATTTAATGAATTATTAAGATTTTTGGAAGAGTGCATCATCAGTGCTTCTGACAAACGTCATTTCATATAGCGCCATGTGTCATCAGAGTTTTATTTTGTGTCTGTTTATCTTTAAAAATTCACGAACATTTAATTAAAATTCAAAAAAATACATCCTTAATTTCAACAAATTTCATGCGACATTATCTTCGACTATGATGCGTGAAAATCAAAATTTGACTTTGAAAAACTTGAATTAATAATTGGAAGAAAAGTTGTAGTGAGGAAGAGGAATGATCTTAAACTTGGTGTGTAGTTAGTATAGGAACAAACTTGAGTTTGAGAACTTATTTGAATTTTTCTTTATATCATAATAAATCTGAAAAATTCACTATAAAAAAACCCCGAAATCATTGTGACATTTCTAACATCTTTTAAGACTTACAATATAATTTTGACTAAAAGAAAAATTCAAATAATTTCACAAAGTCAAGTTTATTTCCATACTAACAATAATACTCAGTTGAAGATCACTAGTCTTCATCACTACAACTCTTCCTCCAATTATTACTTCAAAATTTTCAAAGTCAAATTTTGATTTTCGAATATCATAGTTAAAGATAATGTCGCAATGAATATGTAGAAATTTTCGGTGTATTTTTCTGATTTTTTAATGATTTTTTGTGAATTTTTTAAGATAAAACTCACAAAAATGAAACGTTAATGACATGTGGCGTTATGAGATACTGACACCAGTTGGAAAAGCTGACGACGCACCCATCAGGCCCCGCCATGTGTCATTTTCTTCCATTTATTACTATTTTCCAATATTTTGACAGCCTTCGTTTAAAGCTTTGGTTGCCTTTGTGATTGGATGAGGATTGATTTCGTGATTGCTGTGAAAGTAATCAAATATAGAAAAGAAAAAAAAAATATTGCTTAAAACACGTTTGGTACTTCTGCATTTTTTGTTGAGTATTCCTCTAAATGTTAAATTGTGACTTTTTTTTTGGGTTTAATATTGGAATTTTAGCAGCTTGGTTTTATTTTTATTATGTTCATTTAATTTGTGCAGGCCCTTGTTTAAAGCTTTGGTTCCCTAGACAATTCAAAAATGAAGAGTCGTTCCCAGGAACTTATAGTAATTTTACCTATATTTTTATAATAATAGAGAAATGACACAAGTCATAATTGCAATGCTACATCATTACTTGTTTGCCATCAAAATATCTTTCGTAAACGCTTCAAAAGTCTTCATTAGTACTTTTATGAATATTTTAAGATGAACTCCAAAGACGTGGAAAGTGTCACATTGAGTTTGTAGAAGAGTGCATCATCAGTGCTTCTGACAAACGTCATTTCATATAGCGCCATGTGTCATCAGAGTTTTATTTTGTGTCTGTTTATCTTTAAAAATTCACGAACATTTACTTAAAATTCAAAAAAATACATCCTTAATTTCAACAAATTTCATGCGACATTATCTTCGACTATGATGCGTGAAAATCAAAATTTGACTTTGAAAAACTTGAATTAATAATTGGAAGAAAAGTTGTAGTGAGGAAGAGGAATGATCTTAAACTTGGTGTGTAGTTAGTATAGGAACAAACTTGAGTTTGAGAACTTATTTGAATTTTTCTTTATATCATAATAAATCTGAAAAATTCACTATAAAAAAACCCCGAAATCATTGTGACATTTCTAACATCTTTTAAGACTTACAATATAATTTTGACTAAAAGAAAAATTCAAATAATTTCACAAAGTCAAGTTTATTTCCATACTAACAATAATACTCAGTTGAAGATCACTAGTCTTCATCACTACAACTCTTCCTCCAATTATTACTTCAAAATTTTCAAAGTCAAATTTTGATTTTCGAATATCATAGTTAAAGATAATGTCGCAATGAATATGTAGAAATTTTCGGTGTATTTTTCTGATTTTTTAATGATTTTTTGTGAATTTTTTAAGATAAAACTCACAAAAATGAAACGTTAATGACATGTGGCGTTATGAGATACTGACACCAGTTGGAAAAGCTGACGACGCACCCATCAGGCCCCGCCATGTGTCATTTTCTTCCATTTATTACTATTTTCCAATATTTTGACATCCAAAAATTATAATAAATTTGAAAAATTCACCAAAAAATACCCTAGACTCCTTTTGACATTTCCAACATCTTTTGAGACTTAAAATATAATTTTGACTAAGAAAAAAATTCAAATAATTTCACAAAGTCAAGTTTGCTTCCATACTAACAATAACACTAAGTTAAAGATCACAAGTCTTCATCATTGCAACCCTTCCTCCAATTAATAATTCAAATTTTTTAATGTCAAATTTTGATTTTCGAGTATCATAGTCGAAGATAATGTCGCAAGGAATATGTTGAAATTTTCGGTGTATTTTTCTCATTTTTTATGAATTTTTTAATATAAACTCACAAAAATTAAACATTAATGACACATGGCGCTATGAGATACTGACACCAGTTGGAAAAGCTGACGACGCACCCATCAGGCGCTGCCATGTGTCATTTTCTTCCATTTATTACTATTTCCCAATATTTTGACTTCCAAAAATCATAATAAATTCATAATAAATCTGAAAAATTCACCAAAAACTACCCGGACTCCTTGCGACATTTCCAACATCTTCTGAGACTTATAATTTTGACTAAGAGAAAAATTCAAATAATTTCACAAAGTCAAGTTTGCTTCCATACTAACAATAACACTAAATTGAAAATCATTAGTCTTCATCAGTTCAACTCTTCCTCTAATTAATACTTCAAATTTTTTAATGTCAAATTTTGATTTTCGAGTATTATAGTCGAAGATAATGTCGCAAGGAATATGTAGAAACTTTCGTGTATTTTTCTGCTTTTTTTAATGATTTTTTGTGAACTTTTTAAGATGAACTCACAAAAATGAAACATTAATGACATGTGGCACTATGAGATACTGACACCCATTGGAAAAGCTGACGATGCACCCATTAGGCGCTGCCATGTGTCATTTTCTTCCATTTATTACTATTTTCCAATATTTTGACTTCTAAAAATCATAATAAATTCATAATAAATCTAAAAAATTCACCAAAAAATACCCCGGACTCCTTGCGACATTTCTAACATCTTCTGGGACTTAAAATATAATTTTGACTAAGAGAAAAATTCAAATAATTTCACAAAGTCAAGTTTGCTTCCATACTAACAATAACATTAAGTTGAAGATCACTAGTCTTCATCGCTACAACTCTTTCTCAAATTCATACTTCAAATTTTTAATGTCAAAATTTGATTTTTGAGTATCATAGTCGAAGATAATGCTGCACGGAATTTGTTATTTTTCTAATTTTTTTTAATGATTTTTTGTGAATTTCTTAAGATAAAGACACAAAAATAAAACATTAATGACATGTGGCGCTACGAGATATTAACACCTGTTGGAAACGATGATGCACCCAGCATGCGATGCCATGTGTCATTCTCTTCCATTTATTTCTATTTTCCAATATTTTGACTTCCAAAAATTAGAATAAATTTGAAAAAAAATTTAAAAAAATACCCCGGACTCCTTGCAACATTTCCAACATCTTTTGTGACTTAAAATATAATTTTGACTTAAAAAAAAATTCAAATAATTTCTCAAACTCAAGTTTGTTCCTATAGCACCTATAACACTAAGTTGAAGATCATCACTCTTCCTCACTACAACTCTTCCTTCAATTATTAGTCCAAATTTTCCAAAGTCAAATTTTGATTTTCACGCATCATAGTTGATGATAATGTCTCAAGGAGTTTTTAAAAACTTTCAATGCATTTTTCAGATTTTTTATTAATGTTGTGTAATTTTTTTTTGTAAGTCAAGCACACAAAAATGAAACTTTGATGGCACGTGGCACTACGAGATACTGACACCTGTCGGAAACTCATCATGTGCTACCATGTTTGATAATTACTATTTTTCAATGCTTTAACTTCCAAAAATCATAAAAAATTTGAAAATTTCATTAAAAAAATCCTAGGAACTCCTTACAATATTTTTTTTTCATCTTTTAAGTTTTAAAATATAAATTTGACATATAAAAAGTTCAAATAATTTCTCAAGACACTATCACTCGTCATTTTCTCCCATTTATTGCATTTAATACGAATTTTTGAAGTTAAAGCGTAGAAAATATATAAATAAACCGAACATAATGACACATGACAACAAAAAAATCCGTAAGTTTTATTTTTGTATGTTTATCTTAAAAACTTCACAAAAAATTTATAAAAAATCCAAAAGATAAATGTATTAGAGCGGTGTTATAATGCGGAGCTATTCATAGGCCTGAGATGGCCTCGCCCCCCCCCCCCCCCCCCCCGCCCCCCCCTCCCACCCCCCCAAATATATGGGTTAAAATATGTTCCATTAACATTTATACAGTCAATAGGTGTTCGCTAGAACTTCAGTAGGTGTACAATAAGGTTTCACCAATAGGTTTGCAATGAGGTTTCAACAAGGGTACAGGAAAGTTCAACTGAGGTTTCACACCTATTTCACGTAATATGCACTAATGTTTCACTTAGTGTTCATCCGAACCTAACTTGAGCAATTATCGCCAATTAGAAGAGTCATCAAGCCTTTAATTACTCTACACTTCTTCACCGATCCTTCTGCAACCAAAGATTTGAAAAATAACACAAATTGTCAACAACAAAAAAAATTTATCCCTCTCCATTAAGGATTAATCACAAAAAAAAAGAAGAAAAAAGAAGCATATATCAAATAAAAGCCATGAGCAAATGCTCCCACCAACACATCAGTAAACAAACGGTAACCGTACAACTGAGTTCTTACCTAGCGAGAGTCGAACTGCAAAATCAAATATCCACAGAGAAAATTGTTGAAGGGCACAAGACCTAAATGGGAAATATCGATAAAATCAATTAAGTTAAAAAAGAGTTGAGAAAATTGCAAAACTTACTGAGCGGAAGAACATGGGCATATATAGGAGCAACCAAGAACTTAAATTGGGAGCCCGTGCTTCTCTTTCTAATAGCAGCCTTCCTTTCAACATATTCATGTACACAATTTGATATCAATTACTAATAAAGAGAATAAATTTCTATTAATTGAAAGGCAAGATCTATGTTGTGGGTTTGGCGGAACTTACTGATTTGAGGGATTGGACGATGAGGGCCAGGAGGCCATGGCGGAAAAATTTCTGAAGATGAGAGGAGTGATGCTTTGTACAGAAATGGAAGCAAGGAAATGGGTGTAGATGGAAAGATAGATGAGAAAAGAGGGATGTAGTTCATGGAGATTGAAAAGTCCACTGGAAGGGTATGGGTAAAGCTGATTGCTTTCAGTATTTTAATATAATTTTGGGGCAAAAATATCTCCATTCAAGGGCAGGATAAGAGACAATGCGGGAAAAAATGGCGCCTGAAAAAAGATAAATTTCGCAAAAAGTTTTGGACGTAAGAGAGAACAAGTTGAGGTGAGGTCCTTGTTCTAGTACAATTGTATACAATTGTTTCACTTACAATTGCTTTTCGCGGAGCCGTTAGTTTAGATCCAATGGTGTTCTCATATAACGTTCGTACATAAACGTTCTCACTAGATAACCTCCCGTAATTTAAAGGAGACTGCATAGTCCAACAATGAAAATAATCGGACTCGCATGCCTAATTCAGTGAGCCCCAAATGCAGTTCGCAAAATAGCACCATCGCTATTTTGAACACACGAGTCCGGCTGGATTTCCTTACGCCTTGAATCAAAACACCACCACCACAAACCCAATCGACAGACTCTGGCAATGCCCAGCTCTCCCTCTTCTCCCCCGAATTTGTTCTCCCTCATGACCACCACCCGCAAGCCACACACAGACCCATCTCTCTTCGCCACCACATCCACCCGTAGAACTCAGAACCATCTCTCTTCGCCATCTCTGTCAGACCACCACCATCAAACCCATAACCAGCCGCCAGAGACCCAATCGAACCATCATCACCACCCATAAACAGCCACCACATACTCAGTTCAATAACCATCATCACCTAATTAAACCACCACAACCATTAATTAGTGGAACCAGAAAGAGAGAGGGGTGGGTGTTTGCAGCCACCACATATCCAGAAGTGGATCTGGCTCTCTTACAAGTTGGGGTGCAGCATGACAAGAGAGTGAAAAGGAGTGAAGGAAGAAGAAAAGAGAGGAAAGAATAGGAAGAATAAAAGAAATAGAAGGAACGGCCTGGAAAGGAAGAAAGAAAAAAAAAAAAAAAGGGAGGCTTTGGAAGGAATAAGAAAGGAGGAAGAAAGAAACGGGCCAGAGATAAGGAAGAAGAAGAAAAGTCAATGGGGAGAAGAGGAAGAAAGAAAAGAAGAAAAAGAAAAAAAAAGATAATATAGTTTGAAGTGCGTGGTTCAATTGTTTGTTTGACCAGAGATAAGATACCACCACATACTCACTTATTTGTTTTCTTTTTATTTATTTTTGGGTAAAAAAAGCCTTAAGTAAAATTAAATATTAGAATTTTATTAATTTTTTATTAATTAAAATTAAATATTAAAATAATTATTTTTAGTCCGACACAACACCAAACATAGGTCTTCACTACTTTTACAATCCAGCTTCTTAGTCTGACCCAGCACCAAACGTAAGTTAGTACTTAATCCAGCTTAGGCCAATCCGAGCTAATCCAAGGTAGTCCCAGAATTTAGTTCAGTCCATGACAATCCGCCGTGCCAAACGACCCCTTAGAAGCCAACCTTATCCCTCAGCCCAAACAATCCAAATTTGGTTGTGGTGTATGAAACGGCATAGCATGCCAAACTACTGTTTCCAAGAGAACAATTCAAAATTAAATTTTTTTCAATAATTTCAATTTTTATCAAAATTTCCTCAAATCCATTAAGTTCTGACCATGTGCCCCTCACATGGCAGGGTATTTTGCTTGTGTTTTACAGAGGGCTCAAATGAACTGGAATATCCCTCCGTGTGAGGGGCACAATCGAAACTTAAGAACATTTGGAGAATTTTACAAAATTTGAAACACCGAATTGAAATTCTCCAAATTGAAACTATGGAGATAAAATTGACAAAATTAAAACTATAGGAGCCAAGGCGGTCAATGTGCGACAATTATCCAAACAATGGTCAAACCTACTGCAATTATCCAAGTAATTGTACAACATAAGGTAATCGATCCAAATTTTAAACCATCGCACAAGTCCAAACCATAATGTCAACAACAGCATAATATAATTCATAATTGACGTGCACCCATCCAACTTATTCCTCAGCCATTTCATGCATAAGCCAAGCAACCTTGAAGTAAGGACCTTGCACTTTTGAAAACATCACTCTCTTCTTAGGTTGATATTTAAATAGCCCTCTTGCAAACCACCACAAAATACTATTGGCACATCCCCCAGGTAAAGATTCGACAGCCAGCATCACTTAATCAAGTGAAGGTGCAGTACTGCTCTCAACTGCCTCAACAAGGCCACCACTCCCTTGTGCCAAGGATGCAGCACCTCTCAGTTGTGACAGTGTTGCGGCACGTCTCCATTGTGATAATGCCCTCACACTTCCTTTGTCATTCTCATCTTTCTTAGCTTGTATGACAAGTTTTTCGGCTCTCCTTTTCCCCATCCCAGATGAACCCATAGGTTGAGTGGCTTCGACCGGGACGACATTCCTTTAGTAGTAAGTACACTTCAATAATAGGGTCTAGTAACTGTGATATAGAATTCATCCATATATCACAAGACAGAAATAAAAGATTGAGTAACATACATAGTGATCACATTCGGAGAAAAGTTAACTTGAACTGTCAAAGAATACCAATATGCACCAATATATGCAAAAGCACGAAATGTAACGTAAACAAGAAACGAATTACTTGTAGAGCTCTGCAAAAATATCTCGCAACTTCTTAGATCCACGAATGCCACCTACCTTTTCCCCATTTAGATAGAAATGGAATGCTGGCTGCAAAAAAAATGCACACAACAGCAAAGTAAATTTCTATTTTCAGATGAAAGCAAGGCTGAAATTATTTACTCAGCCTAATCCAACTGCTTAGACCCTTTCCTGCCAGCCAGAGGTGGAGCCACAGTGGGGTCAATGGGGTCGCACGACCTCTTGGAAGCCATGGAAATAAGCCTAGAGGTCCCTTGGAGCTGCTGGTGCGACCTCTTGGAGCTGCACACCAAGTGGTCGATGAATGGCCTGAAAGAACCATCAGTTGCAAGCTGAAGAAGAAACCCATCGCGAGCCCATTTTTTTTTTTTTAAAACAACCTGGCAAAACGACGTCGTTTCGTTTTGGCAAGGTATGAACAAATTAAAAAAAGACCAGCGTATCCTCTCCAGCCATTTTTTAATCCCTGGGCCAAAACTACGTCGTTTTGGCCAGGTCTGAAAAAATTAAAAAAGGACCAACGTGTCCTCTCTAGGCATTTTTTCTCCACAGACCCGATTCCAATTCTAAAACCCCAAATTTTCTTTTGCTTTCTCCTCCAAGTTCAAACCCTAAGTTCCCAACTCAATCCCCCACTCCCCTAAACCCTCAACTCCATTTCCTCCCTTGCTATCGCCACTGGAAAGTGCCTCTGTGTTGCTGTGTCGACGCCGTGTGGTGGTGCCGCCGCCAACTACTCTCTTTGTTTTACTCATTCTAATTGTGAAATTTCACAATCCAAGTAAGTTCTAAACCCTATGTAGTAGTATGATATATTTACTTTAATTGAAACCCAATTCATATTTATTTTGATTATATTGGTGGTTTGATTATATTGTGAGCTTTTATTTTCATTATTTTGCATATGTTGAATATATTTAATTTAATTGAAATTCAATTCATATCCATTTTGTTTATATTGATGGTTTGTTTATATTGTGAGTTTTTATTTTCATTATTTTGTATATGTAGAATATATTTAATTTAATTGAAATCCAATTCATATTTATTTTGATTATGTTGATGGTTTGTTTATATTGTGAGTATTTATTTTGATTATTTTGTATATGTAGAATTGATAAGTTTATAATTTCATACATTTGCATGACTTCTTTACTTAGTGACTTTGCTTAGTTTCTCTTTATTTTGAGTCACTTACCTCTTTTTGTTTGTTTTGTAGGTTAAGACAGCAAGAGAT